CATCCAGTCCAACCCCCTGCTCCAGCAGGGACACCCAGAGCACGGGGCACAGGGCGGCATCCAAGCGGGTTTAGAAAATCCCCAGAGAAGGAGACTCCACAGTCTCCCTGGGCAGCCTGTGCCAGGGCTCTGGCACCCTCACAGGGAAGAAATTCCTCCTCACATGCAGATGGACCTGTCTGTGTTTCAACTTGTACCCATTGCCCCTTGTCCTGTCACTGGCCACCACTGAGAAGAGCTTGGCCCCTTCCTCCCTACATTCTCCCCTCTATATTTGTACATGTTGGTAAGATCCCCTCTCAGTCTCCTCCAGGCTAAAGAGGCCCAGCTCTCTTAAATCTTTCCTTGTAAGATAGATACTCCACTCCCTTAATCATTCATCTTTTTTGCCCTCTGTTGGACCCTCTCTAGAAGCTCCACATCCCTTTTCTACTGGGATTTCTGCCCCCGTCACCTCCTTCATGCCATTCAGCTACCAGCAGAGCTGGAATTTGGGAATACTTGAGCATTAGAACTACAGGAGAGGTTTTATCAAGCTTGAGGCTACAAAGTGATGACCACGGACATAGTTTCTGTAGCTTTTGTTTTCCCCAAATACTGATTTGGTCTCAGGCAGGAAAGAAAGATGGCACAGATGGAAGTGTGTGCTGAAAACCAGGGGTGGGAGGAGGCAGAGCCTTTTGGTTGCTCTGGCTGGGAAGCTGGTGAGCCACGTTGTGCCCATTTCATTCCTCAGCAAGTTACCACACTCGGAGACTTCTAAGGCTGAGGGAGGGTACCGAGAATGATTTTTGTTATGAAAACTATTCATAAACAAATATTAGGGAAAAGCCAAGATGGAGAAAAGATTGATAAATCTGGGAAGTGCAATGTGTGTTAAGGAACAGCAGTGAGGAGAGCAAGTGAGCCAGGCAATAAGCAAGTGATAGATGAAGCACTATATAAATTTAATCATTGTAAAATCATGACACATGACAAATTCTGAGGAAGATAGGAAGGGGTAAAAGGAAAGTGACAAGGTTGGAAATGAAAATGACTACAGAATGAAAGTCGTGGTTTAAAATTGCCCTAGTATAAAAATGAGACAATAGGAAAAAGATTATTGTGGGGCTGGTGAAAAAGGTCTCTATATCCTCCATTCAGCACTGGCCAATTTGGACAAATCAGCTTCAAAGTACAGGGGCAGAGTGCTTCAAAGTCACCATGTGTCCGACTATTTGAGCCTAATTGTCTAAGGAACAGGCATTTCTGCAGGACTCTGCCTGGTCCCAGCTCTGGAGCAGCCGCTGTAGGAGCGTGGAGCCCAAGGAGCACATGGCCGGGCGGGGAGATGGAGCCAACACGCTCCCAGAGCCCTCTGGCCCCTTCCTTCGTGGCCTTCAAGAGCTGACTGGCTTCCCTGGTGGGCTGTGCTCTTTGCTGCTATCTTTGCATGCTGGAGATCCCCCTCCATGCTTTTTATTATGGGCAGTGACGACATACTGCTGGAGGGCATTTAACTTGGGATAAACATTGTTTCTTTAGGCAACCGGTTTCTTTCCAGTCATCTCGCCGCATAGAGGGAGTAAATGCAGTGCCTCAGAAAATCACGTAGCTGAATTGGAAGCAGAAGCTGTCATTTCAGTTTGATACTTCTGGCAGTGAAATTTAAGTGAGCATTTGGTAGCCTTGCCAAAGGTTTCATAGTCAAAATATCCCCAAATACCAGGCTTGGCTTGCAGCGAAGGGAGCTTTGTCATTCTCTAGATGAGGGGGAAAAAGAGACAGACAGACAGAGAGCTCTGTACATATCCTAGGTAATTTAGGGTATTCTCTAAAAACTGTAATTCATTTTTTAAATTAGATTACAAGTTTGGTTCATAAAAATAACTGAATGTTGCATGTCATATCTGCTTGTGTTGAGGTAAGAGAAGCTCTTTAAAATGCCAAAGAGCACGTGGGGTGCTGTCAGGGAGCTGACTCGAATTCTCAGCAGCTATCAGTGGCAAGCTGAAAGAGGCATGATGTTACTTGATATTTCTTAATTATTAAAATGTACTTAGAACATTCAGACTGTAGAGAAAGAACCATCAAAACACAGAATCACCGAGGCTGGTAAGGGATCTCTATGAAGGCCACGTGCAAAGGAAAAGGAGAAAAACTTGTGATTCTGGGTAAGCTTTAAAGGACAAAACTGTGGATGTTAATCAATTATATTAGCACTATGCCTTACTTAGAAGTGAATACATAGGATTAGTGGAGAAGCGGTTTTTCCCTCTGGTATGGCTAATGTTGAAATAATGTCTACAGTCCTCATCTATCTTTATGGAAAAAAAAATAAAATGGAAGGGATTTCTAAAAGCAAGAAGTTGTTCTGAGATGCAGTGTTCAAGTCTATGTACATTATCTAAACACCAGTAATGGAGTACTATAAGAATATACCAGGAGAAAATTTGCTCACTAATTAAGAAATGAAGTGCCATAAGCTTTCATGAGGAAGCTGAACAAACCCAAGCTGGAAATGAGAGCATTTTTCATAGTGAATCTATGTGAGCACCGAATAAAGCTAAAATGGAAGAAGGCAGAGGCTCCAAGTGGCCTCTGTGGCCGAAGAGTGTCCCTCAGAAAGCTACTCCTCTTGCACTCCATGGAGTTGTCTAATCATTTTCTGTTTTCTATCCTCAACTTAATATTAGTTATGTCTAAAATGGAGTTATGTCTAAAATTAGTTATGTCTAAAATACTTTAGCTGTAAAAAAGACAGCTATAAGACGTGAAGATAGTTCATTACTCAGCCACTTCTTACTGCTATGTAGATCTGTGGATCTGCATCTACTCTGTGCTAGCCTGCCTGAAATCAAACCTGCAGGGATGGGCTCTCAAATATCATTCACCACTCAGGGATGTTTTGCTTTTGAATTTAAGAATAAATGCTTAGTTTCATGTCTTAAGGTGCATAAAATATTTTTTTCAACTATAATATTATTTCTTTCAAAATATGTCAGATAATGGGACTCGACATAGTTGAGATAAAACTGAAATTGATTTCCGACAATCTTGAGCTCTGAATTTTTAAGTCTATTTGGCTATTTTTGAGCACGGCAAGCTCATTACAACAGCCTTTTCCATAATTCTGCAATCCTGAGCATTTTTTGAGTGTGGTGCAGAAAAACAGTAAGTATGCTGAAGTTTCAATTTGGTTACACCATTTTTACCAGCATACAAGTAGAACCTCTATTCTTGTAAATGTAGTGTTAGCTTTCGTAGGTAGTGCAGAAAAGTCTCTCTGCTTTCCATTTAAACCACCTGAATATCTGGGAGAGCTGCTAGGCTCTTAGCTCTCACTACAGTAATGTTCCTTTTCAAGATTGCTTGCTGCTTTCTGTCAGTTCTAACTAAGCTACAGTGAAGAGTTTTTCTTTTTTCAGTTTAGTTTAGTTTTTTCTTTTTGCTATTGCTTTATAATGACTGCTAAATCCCAGGCTGCTGCCATCTACACATGAATCTAAAAATCTGGCACGGGTGAAGGACTGGTATAATTAATTTCCAAGGAGTCTGTGCTCTAATTGAAAATGCAATCTCTAGCGTGTGTCACTAAATACTGGACTGAAGGCCCAGCTGCTGCAGATCAAGTTTGATCCTCACTCTGGTCAACTGCAAGGTGAGTGCAGGGCACGGCTGCTTCTCCTTCTGCAGCTGAATTCCTTTGCTCTTTTTCTTTTTTTTTTTTTCTTTTAAATTCCCACTGCTGGCTCTGCAAGGAAGAAGATACATTAAGGAGGTGCGTGCATAGACAGAAAATGAAATGACAAGAGGAATGGATAAAGACACTGCAATGCCTTTATCTACACTTCGTGGGCGCGCACCTGCAGCATTCCCTTTCTCATTAGGGAGAAGCTGCTTTGCTCCCTTGCCACCTCACCCATGTTCCTGTTACTGAATAATCGATAATCCTATGTTTTCACTTACAAGCGTTAGAAAATAAACAGATTAAGAACCTAGAGAAAAACGCTACCACTCTTTTATGTGGTTTTATTTATTTTATTTTTATTTATTTGTTTATGTTTCTGCTGTGTTTGGCATTCAGAATCGTAAAATCTTTCTTTAAAAGACAAAGCACAGGAGCTGTGTTGGAAGTGTGGCCGTGACTATGTGAAGCTTCCCTTTTTGGAGGGAATTTGAATGCTAGATCATTTTTAAGGCTAAAACGTAAACAAAAAGCTTAAGTCATTCTGCCTTTTCAGCAGCAGAGAAGTCATGAGGATAAAGCTGAATCCAGGGTTTTCACTGGAGCTTTTCTTCTTTTGATGACGCATAAACTTAAAAGGGAAAAACTATGTTTTTCTTTCATATTGCTCGGAGTGCTTGTGGGGAGAAACCACTGCCTGCGGTCCCAACCCAGCCTTGAAAGAAGGTAAAGAGAAGATGAAAAATAGTTGCTTGCATTGATGTGTGCTCACCTTGTGTGTCACATTAAAGTCTGAGAAAATAAATATATATAGAAAAAATATATATAAAATAGGCAGTGAGGAGACTGATGCCAAAGGTAAGAGCCAGAGCAGGACTGAAAATACCACGGGTGGCAGTTGTTGCACTCCTTGGTGCCTATGAGGCTGATGAAGAGATTATAGCACCTGCCAAGCACGGAGAGGGTGAGGGAGCTGCAGGAAGCCGTCCTGAACCTCAACAAACCCTTCGTTAAGGCGAATGTGGACGCGCCTTATCGCGCGCCGCTCAACGGCTCTCGGGCGACCGTTACGCGCCGCCCTCTCCTCGAGGCGGCCGCCGCTCCCGCCCGCGGCGCCCATTGGCCCCGCCGCGTCACGTGCCCCCGCGGCGCCGCCCGGGCCGGGCTGCCGCGCGCCGCCGCTGCTGATTCATTGGCTGGGGCGGCGCAGTGGCAGGTGCGACGGTTGGGCGTCCGTTACTCCAACGGTTTCTGCCCCTCGCGCTCTGGGCGGCGCCGCGGCGGCTCCCCGAACCGCCGAGGCAAAGCAGATGCCTGCGCGGATCTTGGCGCCGCCGCGGCGCTGCTCTGGAGCTGCGCCTTCCCTATGTAATGTTTATTTTATTTGATTTCAGGCTTTAGGTTGCGAGAGTCCGTCGATGCATCTCCAGGAGCGTTTCCTCGGCGGGAAGGTACGTCGCGTTTCTGAAGCAGTTGTTTCTGATTTTGTTTAAATCCACGTGTCGTGAAGCATAGCGAGTAGTGCTGAGAAACGAGTAGTTTTGCTAGGAAAGCATTAGAATTGTGTTTAATTGATTTTATCCCTATTTCCCTAGTCTCTGCCTTTTTTTTCTCCCTCACGGCTCTGATTGATGAATATTTGAATGACTGTTCAATATGTAAACTAAAGTATTTCTGAAAAATGTGAAAATTCTTTTTTCCCCCTCTGTCCTTAGAAGAAATCTCTATAATCTTAGAGGGAAAGAAAGGCTTTTCCCCCAACTGCAACCTTACATTAACTTGCTTTTCCCTAGTCCTGACAGCTTCTATTTTCCTTCTGTGCTTTTCTGTAGTACTGTGTTGACTCTCATACTTCTTATTTTTCTCCCTCTGCTGTAACAATCTTTCTCCTCCCTGCTCAGGGTGCTGCTGGTGTCTGTTGTAAACAGCTGGTATTATAGAGCTGCTTCTTGCCCTGACACTCTATCTTCCTGCTGGAGAGGACCAGCCTCTATGGCCAGGCTGCAAACCTTTCTTCCGCACCACATCCATTCCCTCGCTTCTGCCTCTTGCATTGCCACGTATCTGTTTGGTCAGTGTTTAACTCCAGCTGATAAGGGGAGAAACAGGACAGCAGTGGGAAAACTGCCTCAACAAGACCCATCCTAGGTTGTCTGGTGCATTAAGGCATTCTGCTTTCAGGTTGGGTTTTTTTTTTCCATATACTGGTCGGTTTTGGCTTCCCATTGCCTCTGTTCCCATCCATTCCTCTCCTTTGAGCTCCTTGGAGATTGTGTACAGGGAGATAGATGCAAAGTGTGCGTAACTGTTATGGAAATCAATAGCTGTTTTGGTTTCTTCTCTGAGGTAGTCAGGTAATTGACTCAAATGCTGCTTGTTTTTCATGTCTGTTTGTGATTTTTCTATTCATATTCCTAATCAGAGAGTAAAGAAAAAAATTTCACTACAGGAGTAAATGCTTGGAGAGGTGCCAGGGGAATCATAACTGTCTGTTGATAGTCTGGCTCTGTTTTTGCCTAAAGTAGTGGGATCTTCTGGGTGTGCTGATCACTAGCAAAAAAAAAAAGTATACAAAATAAAGCTTTTGCCAGAAAATACCCAGTTGCAAAAGCATCCTCCCGTGTCAGGAGTTGCATAAAATAGTGTTCCACTTTGCTTCCACAGTTCTTTTACTGTTTGCATGTTAGTGGTAGAAAGTGTTTAAAGATGACATTCTTACAGCTTGGGCAACAACTTAAATCGGATTTTTGGCCTTTGAGCCAACAGTATAAGCGGTTCCTAGCAAATTTCTAGTACAAATAAATTAGGACTGTATTCTGCAGGCTCACTCCTGTATGCCTTGGGCTGGAGGTGAGTGGTACGCTGTAGTCAAATTTATTCAAAACTTATATTTGGGATAGTGCAATAAATTGCCTTTTCAGTAGCTCTAGAGGGATGAATCACATGTAAACATAGGAAAACACAAATTAATTACGCAGACAGTTCTGATTTGGAAAAAGTCCCAAGGTAATTTGCCTTTTATTAAACAACTTCTTTTCACTGGCTATTTGAAATCTTTACTGAGTTGGATGTGTTGTATGCTATAAAAGTCAGTCAGGCATAGAAGTTCTTGAAAAATTGTATTTTTGCCCTTTTTTTGAGTGCTGAAGAAACTGATGCATAACTGACTCTTCAAATTGAAAAGTAAAAGCATTATTTAGCATCAGGAAAGACAGTGACTTTAAAGAAACTGTGGATGAGAGCTTAAACTAGAGATTTTTTCACCTTGAACTCACTCAAACCATGGCTGTGATTTCCAGCAGTATGGATATCATGTGAAGATAAGTCTTGCTTTATAATGAGAGGAGAAAAATATTCAGTTTTGATTCTGAGACTTTTTTTTGTGTGAGTGTATGTGTATTTTTTTCTTTTGTTCGCTTTTAATTGATGCAAAGCCAAAACAGAGCTGTGAAATGAGTCTTGAGCGCAGTCATGACTGTGCACATCTGCAAACAGCTGCACCGCATTTAGAAAGTGTGGAAACATATATCCGGGATGTTTTACATTCAGCTCTTAGGGCTTAGCTCAGTAGCTCCTCTTATAATGGAGCTATTCCAGTTGCAACAGTAACCAGCGTGAGTTGGGCAAGTTGGTTAAGAGTTGGCATGAGGGAAGCTTTTCTCCTTCCCTATTCAGAACAGGACATTGGACTGATACACTTCTAGGTTAATAAGGATTCCAGAATGTCTCTGTTTCAATGCTAAGATTTCTGGAAATAGATTTGATAAAAGAAACAAATAAGTAAAAAGAAAATGGAGACCACTTTACCAAGGCAAATGCCAATCTGCAGTTTTTAAAATTCAGGAAAATAATGTATCTGTTTTTGAACTGTTTGAGTATTTTTATGATATATCAATCAGATACCTATTTACTCTGGAAGGCTAAAATTAGGCTGAGGGAAAGGCAAGCGTTTCTCTTGGAAAGTGTACAGTGTGGTTATATAGTGTAATCTCAGATGAACTGGGGTTGTGACAGTGCCACGTGCACATATGAGAGGAAGGTGACTTTTAATAGGATGGACTCAGCTATACACTGAGTAGCTTTGCTGTGTTCTGCCAATGCACGGGCCTCCAGAAGTAGCTGAACAGCTGTAAAGTGCTATGGTGGGTATGAGAAATGATTGTTCAAATCACTTTCCCTCTTTAGAGGGAACTGCTCAGATGTAGTTTTATTTACTTTGTATTCAGAAAAATGCATTTTTTTCTGAAAAAGACATGTAGTCTTGTTTCCTACTATGACTATAACAACCTGTCATGCTGGAACAACTTGTGTCCAGTATCTCTGGACAATTTTGTAGAGACATATTTGGATGGAAGTGTAAACGCTTGCAGTATGTCAGTTTGCCAACATGAATGTCACAACGAAATGTTTTCTGAGCTCAGCTGAAACTCAGCTTTATAAATTGGAGCCTAAGAATAGATTATGTAATTTTTTCTTAGCTGCAGGAGATAAATAGAATTATTGCTGGTATTTCTTAATTGTTTGTAGATGATACTGTCTTAGGGCAGTATGCTTGGCTGAAATTTTAAGGTCTTTAGTACTGGAGCTATTTATATCAATGTAAAGCTACCTAGGAGCAAGTCCTCACTGAGAATGGAACTTCCCACGGGAAATTTTCCTTAACTGTCAGTGCAAGATTGAAACTTCTGAGAGCCTAAGGAATTCATTGTTGATGTGAAGCCACAAAGGATAAAATGGTATTTTTCTCTGACAATACCATGTCTCCTCAAATTGTGACTTTGCAAACACGTGTGGCTGTCTGCAGGAAGTGAACTCATAGTACAGCATCATTTTGTATCTGTTTCTGTATAACCACTGGAGAGTCTCTAAGCTAAACTGCTAAACAGGTGCTAGCATTTACGTACATCATCACTACCCCTTAGTTGGCAAACTGAGCGATTTTCGAGGTTTTTGGTTTTGCAGTGTACTTTGAAGCTGCTGCTAGTGAGCAGTTAACATTGGTACTCTTTTCTCTCTCCAAGAAAAGCTTGGGGGTTTGTGCACTCAAGTTGACGTGCGAAATTGATTTGTTAAGTGTACAGTTGGTTTCCAATTATCTTGCTGTGTTTCCTGATAAATTTCTTGTTTTCTATTGCTTGCTTTTTCTTCTTTCATTGCAGGAGGGAATATTGTGTGTTCCTTTGAAAAGAGCAAAAACTTGCTCTCCTCCTGTACGTCTAAGATCTTGGGGATTAGCAAGAAGCGAGGTTCATCTGGCTATTTCCCGCAGACCCCTTTCTTGTCAGTGTTTGGGAGTGGCACAGCTTGATAGGAGCCATAGCCGTATGGTACAGCTGTAGAAAGGCAAGGACTTTTCAACCTCTGAAGAACAAACTGTGCTTGCTTTCTTCCTTGACTTCTTTCCTTCTAACCTCCCTTCATAGTCCTTGGGAAGGACCAAGGAGAAAAAAAGGAATGCAGTTGTGGTAATGACTAGTTTCCTACCTTACGGCCCCACAGAATATAGTTGCTGTCACGCGCACTCAGAGGAACAGCCTAATTTGTTATCTTTGCCTTGCCAGCAATTGCTGAGTTGTTCGTGCTGCCTGCTGGTGATGTTGGTGCATCAGATGGCACTGCTAAGTTATTTCTGGACCAAGGCTTTTTTTCTTTGAAATGTGGCACCTTGGTGTTTCTGACTGGCTTTGGGGACCTTCATGGTTTGCAGGGGGCCAGAGGTGCTTATTCGGTGAAGTCTGTTAAGTGACGATAAGCACAATGAACATACGTAGAAAACAAATGTACATTTCATTTTAAAATTTAACACATTACTTGTGTCTATCATGCTGGTAGTTTCTGTTGCTCCAGAAATGAGCAAAATATTGACCAGTCCACGTGGATTTGTTGTTGTTCATGCAGGTCAGGTCCAGAGGCAGCTATCGAGGCTACGCACAAGGCTAGTTCCAGATGGAGACGACATCAGGTTTGCTTTGGTGGTCGTGGTGGTGGTGTGAGCCAGCAGGCTGTGCACCAGCCACGGTGTGTGGCCTGTAAAGTGAGCCAGCATCAGCCAATTTGGAAGGTAAGTGGCAGTGAGCATTTTGCCAACATGCTGGTGATAGGAGGGTGGTGCAGGTGGCCCAACTGGAGCAGTGTCTGATGCTCCTGTGCTCCAGCTCAGAGATGTGCATTTTGTGCCCCAGCCAGCAATGACGCCCACTTGCTTAGTGCCATTAGCAGGCAACCCATGACCTTCTGAACTTTTAAATGGGTTACAAACAAGTTATTCATGTGCTTAGATGTGGATACCACGCTTGCATGAGAGCTGCTGCCTGTAACTGGCAGTAACCAACTAGCTTGGGAGGTACCTTTGCTGTCACTGCACAAGTTGCAGTCTTATCTCCCCTGTGAGTGTCTGTGTGTCTGTCAACATCATTCAGTGTGCTGAGAGACCCGGCCAGTCCTCCAGAAGAAGGTAATGGGCATCATCCATCATCTGCCTGTTTTAGTTAGCAGGGCCCTAACCTGCCTGAATCTCCTGGTCTGCAGTGTTGGGTACATCTCCCTCTCCCTCCCTCTCCCTCCCTCTCCCTCCCTCTCC